CTGGGGGGAAACCCCTCATGTTCCACAAGAACAGCCCAGGTTCCCTGCTGTCTGGGGCACAGGGTCCTGGACACCTGAGGGCCTGCAGAAGGTGTGGACAGGGACACCCCCCCCACCCCCACCACTCCCACCTGCTCCAGAGGAAACCCTTTCCTGATGCCCTGTGCTGCGCATTTTTCTAACCATTTACTCTAGTTATTCCTCAGCTCGAAACCTTCCCAGCTCTCCCGAAAAGCATCCTCATTCTCAATCCCCATTGCAAAATCCTCCGCAGTGTGGCCCAGCCACAGCCTCCCTTGGAGCCAAAGGCATCAGTCCGTTTCCCATCCCGTGACTGTGTCCCTCTGCCTGGAATGTTCTGTCGAAACCTGCCTAAGTGCGTATGGCAGGGGGGCGATATTCTACAGTAGTGAGCTCTAGCAATCACCCCGAGATCCCTCGGTCCCATCCATCCGAAGAAAGGGGAACAGCAGGGCCGTGTGAAATGCACAGCGTCGCTCCTAATGGGTGAGTGATGGATAATAATGGATTCTGGCCAAGAATATGCAGCCTGGGTCTAACTTTCGGTTTACAGGAACCACGTAGCGTAGAGGAACAAATTAGATGACATCACAAGGAAGTACCACAAGGAAATTAAGAATGAGAACATCAATTAATACAACAGTCTTGCTTCTCTCACAAACATAGATGGAAAAAAGAAAAAAAAATACGACAGTCTTGACTCTTTAGAAAGTCAATGTCATGAAAAAACATGCAGGGGGTCTATAGAAGAAATACTTGTAATATAATGCATGAATCTAGATTTGGATCCTGGTTCGAAAAATAAAACAGAGAAAGAGGAGGGAATAAAGGAAGGGAGGGAAGGAGGGAGGAGAAACTATAAACTCTATTTGGGGACAATTGGAGAAATCGGAATATAAACTGGGTGTTAAATGACACGTAGGAATTATTGTTCGTTTGTCGGGTGATAATATCATTACATTTCTGTGAGGAGATGTCTTTATCCTAAGGAGATGTACGCTGAAATATTTAGGGGCGAAGTGTCAAGCAGCCATAATTTATTCTGCAATGGTTTGGCAGGAAAAAAAAGAAGCAAATGTGAAAAAAAGGGCTGGGCGTGGTGGCTCACGCCTGTAATCCCAGCTCTCTGGGAGGCCGAGGAGGGCGGATTGTTTGAGCTCAGGAGTTTGAGACCAGCCTGAGCAAGAGCGAGACCCCGTCTCTACTAAAAAATAGAAAGAAATTAATTGGACAGCTAAAAATATATAGAAAAAAAAAATTAGCCGGGCATGGTGGCACATGCCTGTAGTCCCAGCTACTTGGGAGGCTGAGGCAGGAGGATGGCTTGAGCCCAGGAGTTTGAGGTTGCTGTGAGCTAGGATGCCACGGCACTCTAGCCCGGGCAACACAGTGAGACTCTGTCTCAAAAAAAAAAAAAAAATGTGAAAAAAAGGCTCATCGTTGAATTTTGGTGGTAGAGATGAGAAAGTTCTTTGATCATTCCATCTATATTGTTTAATATTTTCGAAAACAGAGATTTTAAAGAGACGAAAGGACACTCTGCCCGTCTTCTGGTTGAAACATCATCTCTCTCACATCCACCTCTCTTGTTCCCCCAACAAGAATGAAGGCCTCCCTCCCTCCCTGACCCCCGTAGACTCAGGGTCTCTGGTTGGACTTGCAGCTTCTCTCTCCTGCTGAGCCAGGGCTTCTTGGGGGCAAGGACTTCAGCGCATGTGCCTTTGGGTCCCCCTGTCCCACCACAGTGCCAGACACACACCAGGGCTTAACAATGGACACTAATGGCTCCTGCATGCCAGGCACTGTGGAAGTCCTTAGTTTTATTCACTGCCTTAGGGACGTGGTGAGGTGGCTATTAGCATCCCAAGGCAATGTCCTTTATAAGCGGTGGAGTCGTGTGTAGCACCAGGTCTGGCTGACCTGAAAGTCTGGTTACTGTGTCCAGGTTGAATCTAAACTGCATTAGTCCTTAACACCCCGATGAGACAGGTAGGGGTGACATTTCCTATATTGTGGAGGCAGAAGCTGGGCCCTGAGAGGGCAGGGGATGTCCCCAAGTGTGAACGAGGAAAAGCAGAGCTGTGTTTTGGCACCTACGTCACGCCAGGGTCTGGCCTGACACCTTATGGGCATGAACTCACTTAACCCTCACACTGGTCCTCGCCGGGGCGGGCGGAGGCAGGGGGTGTGGCCCGGTGGCCCTGAGCTCAGACTTCAGAGCCAGCTGGCCGGGGCAAACCCGGGATTCCTCACTTCCTAGCCGGTTATCCTCAGAAACTATCGTAACTTCTGCATGCCTCAGTTTCCCCAGGCATAAAATGGACCATGAGAATGGTGTTTTGCTTATACCCTGGGTTGGTTGTGATAGTTCTATAATTGTGGAAAATATTTTTTTTTTCAAGAACGCAATTTTATTTTATTTTGCTCCAAAGTGACTTTTTTACTTTTCTATTTTTATTTTATTTATTTGTTTTTATTTCAGCATAGGACAGGGGTACAAATATCTAGGTTACATATATTGCCTTTGCCCCGCCCGAGTCAGAGCTTCAAGCATGCCCATCTCCCAGGCGGTGCACACCGCACCCATTAGGTGTGAATATACCCATCCCCTGCTACCCCCCACCTGCCCAACACCCGATGAAAGTTACTACTATATGTGCACTTAAGTGTTGATCAGTTAATACCAATTTGATGGTGAGTACATGTGGTGTTTGTTTTTCCGTTCTTGGGATGCTTCACTTGGTAGAATGGGTTCCAGCTCTTTCCAGGATAATACAAGAGGTGCTAGATCACCATTGTTTTTCGTGGCTGAGTAGAACTCCAATGGCATACACAGACCACATTTTATTAATCCACTCACGTATTGATGGGCACTTGGGTTCTTTCCACATCTTTGCAATTGTGAATTGTGCTGCTATAAACATTCTAGTGCAGATGTCTTTTTTATAGACTTTTTTAAATCATGGAAAATATTAATACTTAGAACAGTGCCTAGCTCAGAGTAAGTGTGAGTTAGTATTGCCCGCTTTACAGAAGAGGGAGCTGCCCAAGATCACGCAGAGGTAGCGCCAGAGCCAGGGCCGTCCCAAAGCCCTTGCTTTCTCTGTACTTCTTCGAAGCATGGTCTGGGGCCCAGGAACAAGGGTCTCCACTCCCAGATACTTGGCCCTACCTGGCTCTCCTCCTTTATGAATTCCCAGGGTGGTTCCCTTCCCCTCCTCTCTCCTTCCCCTCTCCCCTCCTTCCCCACCTTCCTTGCCCTCCTCACCTCCCTCTTCTCTCTCTTCCCTTCCTCCTCCTTTCCTCCTTCTTCTTCTCATCTTCCTTCCCCTCCTCCGTACAAGGGCAGAGCAGAGAGAGCTGGACCTCAGTTCTTACCACTCCCTGTCCCTCTCGGGGGTCTCAGTTTCCCCAGTTATAAAAGGAGGGGTGTGGAGGTGTGAAGGTTGCCAGCTTCCCATCTGCACAGGGACGGGACAGATTCTCTGAGCACGAGTGGATGCCGGGGGTGCTCCTCCCCAGCCTCCTCGCTCCGCACCCCAGGCAGCCCTATCGTGTTGGGTGGGGGGTGGCTGAGGGAAGAGAGAGTCCCCTGTGGCCTTAGGAGCTGTGGCCCCTCTGCCCAGCTCAGCCTGGACCAGCTAGCTTGTAGCCTGGGTCACTGGCTCACAGACAAACTGGTTTTCCCTCTGGTTGGCAGCCCTGAGACGCCCAGCCCAGCGCAGTTCGCTCCTGGCCCGAGTCTGGGCCAGGCTCCTTCTGACTGTTCTGGAGTCTGGGGGATCATTGCCACTGCCTTCAGGGACGGCTGCCATCAGAGCAGGCTCTGCTGCACCCAAGGTCTGCGAGTGCTGACGTCCTGTGGCGGGAGCCTGTGGACTGCCCTGCCTGGTCCTGTTGTCACCACCTCTAATGGCGAGTGAGCCCGAGGGTCGGTGCTGGGAAGCCCCCTCCCCAGTGGATTAGCCCAACACCCTCCTTGGACAGGTGGAGAACTCAGGCCCCACGGGAGGCAGGACTTCTCCAGGACACGCTGCAGAGGCGGGGAGCCCAGAGGCACAGTTACCCAGGACAGGCTGGCAGGGGCCAGAGCAGAGATGGAAGTGGAAGGAGAGGCCAGGGAGCCGGAGGCCGGGAGGCCGGCCAGGGCTCTCCTGTGTCCTGAGCTGTCCCCACCCCTGCAGGTGCCTCCTCTCCTCTGTGGCAGTGGGAGGCAGGTTCTCCACACTGATGCTCTGGACAACCTGGGGTGGCTGTGAGCCCCAGTTTCCCCATCTGTCCGCATGAAGTTGGACTGGATCATTCCTTCAGCAAACACTGCACTGAGCCCCTGCTGTTTGCCAGGTCCCTGCTGGGCTCAGGGGTGCATGGTTGAGCAAGGACCCCAGCAGCCCACAGTTTGGGACTTGGGATTTTAAGGGGTGAAGTTTGGGGGTCTATCATGGTGTGGGAGAGATATCCCCCAGACCAAAGAAGAGCTTCCCAGACCCAGACTAGCAGCACGCCGAGGCCTTCCTGGCTTGTCTGTGGTCAGTGCTCTCTGTCATCTGCTCTCTGTCTTTCAGGCTAGGGCCAGATAGATCCTATGGCGGTGCCAGCTCCAGGCAGGGAGGTGGGCTGTGCAGAGGGGAGGAAGGGGGCCCTTTGAACCCTGGCAGGCCTCCTTCAGCCTCCCAGACAGGTCCCAGTACAGAGGAGCAGTCGGATGGTGAGAAGCCGCCCAAGACCCCCTGCCACGGCCTCCTCCCGGAGCCGGGAGCCAGCTCGGTTCCTTGGCAACGTCCTGAGGAATCCAGCGGCTGCACACTGGCTCCCTTCCTCTCTCCTCCCACCGCCTGCGGGGGCTGGGAGGCGGAGGCAGTGAGCCCCATTATAAAAAGCGACAGAGCTCAGGCAGCAGCAGCAGCAGCAGCGCTGAGCTGTCGCGTGGCCCCAGCCGCCTGCCCTGGCCCCCGCCCGGACCCTCACCCAGCCCAGCCATGGCTCCGATACCTGTCTCGTGGCTGCTCCGCGTGGCTGCCCTCTGCCATCTGACCGTCCTGCTGGCTGGTGAGTAGGGCCTGGACTTGGGCACGAGCAGGGTGGCGAGCCCCCCACCCCCTGCTCTGGTCCTCAGGCTGATATTAGGGCCCCAGACCCTGCCTGGGTGAGGCTGAAGGTCTGCCACAGCCCCTTCCCTGGGGATGTGTGGAGGGGGCTGGGCCCCGGCCGGCCCAGATGCAGTGCTGGGAAGATTTCCAGTCTCCGCAACTGTCCCTGTCTGGCCCGGCGGGCAAGGTGGCTGCTGCCTGGCAGCACGAGAGGTGGTGCGGGAGGCACCAGGGAGCCAGGTGTGGGGGTGCCAGGAGGGTGGGGGCTGCGGGGAGCCTGCAGAGGCTCCTGGGGGGATGCGGGGGTGGGCGGCCCTGGCTGACAATGGGCCGGGTCTCCCCACCCAGGGTTAATGTGTAACCCGCAGCCCTGGCCCCAGGACAAGCCATAGTTAGGACTTCTTCCTGCCCTGATTTCAAGGCCCCCAGGAGTAGGGGGCCCAGGACGAGCGAAGGTCAAGGTTGTTGCAGCTCATGGATGGGGCTCGCCTCCCGCCGCTGCACTGGTCTGTAGCCCCAGTCCCTCTGCCTGCGTCTACCCTGTCACTCCATTTCCGTCCTCCAAGCACAGCTTAGAAAATGCTTTTGCCTCCAGTCAGTTGCTTACTGGAGCCCAGGACCTGGTAGGGCATGGTGTTATTCATCCCACCTGATACGGGTAAGATGGAAGCCCAGAGAGGTTTAGAAACTGGCTTGAGGGTGCACAGCCAGCAAGTGGGGCAGGAGAGGGTAAGGCTCACGGGACCAGATGCAGGAGAGAGGGCGGATGCACACGCACCACTGCTGTGGGCCGCGCTGCCTCCGTGAACCGCTAGTCAGCCCCTCTCAGGCGGCGCCCCAGTCATCTGGCAGGCTGACACTCAGAGAAAGTGGGATTTTGCCTTAGGGCACGCAGGGAATCTGGGAGTGGGAGAAGCAGCCCCCAGCCTCTAATCTGGGCTATCTCCATGGAAAAGACTCACCAGTGTGGCAAGAAGCAGGCGCGTGGGGGGACATGGCGGGGTCAGCGGGGATGAATTGCTGCCGGCTTCCTGCTTTCGGGGCTTGGGCCCTAAGCCCCGAGGTGTTTGGGGATAGCAGGGACTGGAAGATGGGGAATTAGATGGAGGTTGCTTTGTGACAGTCGTGCTGTGTGACTCCGAGCAGGGTCTGGCCTTCTTTGGTCCCAGCTGTTGTACCTTTACATATAGCAATTACCTGCAGGGGTGGGGTGGGGTGGGCCGGTGAGGTTCCAGTGTCCATGAGGGCGTTTTGGAAGACGGAGGAGGAGGATCACTTTTACTAAGCTGAGGGGGGTTCTAGGCTAGGATTCAAAGGGGACCTGGGTGCCCTGACTAGCAGCCTGGGGCTTCAGGACCACCAGGCTCCTACGCTAACCTTCTCATTGACTTCGCTGGGAGATATTGAGCACTATTTCAGCCTTTCTGAGCCTCAGTTTCTCCTTCTGTAAAACTGGGCATTCATTCCACCAGGCCCACCCTGGGGGTCCTCGCGAGCGCTGACGTTTGTGGCTCCGAGAGGCCCCCTGAAAGCCCCTGCAGGGTGAGGGGGTGGTTCGGAAGCCGGAGCGGTCCCAAGAGGAGGTTCGGGGCTTCGTGATGGCTTCCCTGGCTGGTGCAGGGCCGCTACGTCAGTCCCCAAATGTGGGTTTGTGGGGCTGTGCGAGGCGGGAGGCTCCTGCGCTTTATATAACAAACCTGCAGATACAAGTCGGAGCAGAGGATTTTTCTCCCCGAGCCCTGACGCATTCACTCCCACTCAAGTCCCGGCAAGAAAGAGAAAAAAAAAATCTGTTTTAAGCTCGTATAGTCTGCAGCCCTGATTAGCAGCGGGGGTGGACAGCGAAGGCAAGGGAGGACATTCAGAGTGTCAGATCTAGGCTTCTGTCGAGTTTAAATAAAAATCCCTCCATCTCTCTGTTGGTTGGGGTTTTATATGTCACCAAGCACTTCCTCATGCATTCATTCAACAAATATATTTACTGGACACCTATCATGGGACGAGCACGGCTCTAGGTGCTGCAGCCGCATCGCTGAATAAATTGCCAAAGACCTCAGCCTTCGGGGTGCCGAAATTTACTGAAGAAGACAGACAGTACACAGAATAAATCAGTAAATAGTTTGGTCTGTTAAAGGGAGAAAAAGCACTGTGATCAAAAAAATAAAGAGAAGGGAGGAGAGGAGTTGA